GGAGGGGAAAAAGTTTTTTTTTTCCCCCTTCTATAAACTGGCACCGGGACACGGTTATTACACATAATGCACCAGCATAAATGTGGGCAATAACATCAGACACTAGGTAGGTAGGGAATAGGTTATGTTGTATGTCTCTACTAGGATTCCCCACAGGAGCCTAAGCCAGGCTTTACATCACGCACCTCTTTCCAATGATGAAAGCCACAGCAGCTCATTCAGTTTCTTTAGTCTGTTCTAATTTTCTTGATATGTAGTTGAAATGTTATACAACACTGAAGCTGCAATAATTACAGAGGAATCACCTTGTAAAAAGTATTAAAAATGGCAGTGACTCATAGCAACATGTTTGTGTTCTAGGAGTTGGAAGAAGAAGGCCAGGTGGTAAAAGTTGGGAGTCTCAGTGTCCGCTGGGTGCTCATGAAGCTCGCTGGACCATGGCTTCTTACTGTCAGCTCCAAGCACTGGTCTCAGTCATCCACTGCGTCACACCCGTTTTTGGAGAAGAAGCAAACCATCCCCTTTATACGGAAGCGGTGCAGCCGCGAATTCCAAGTGGAGAAGGAAGAACCACCGGCGAAAAGATTGGCTGTGGATAGAGAGGACGTCGCTGACAAAGAGGATGTGGACGGAGTGCCGAGTAACCAAGAAACAAATGAGGAAAAACAGCTGGAACAACTGGAACGGCCGATGGAGAGGGCAGATGAATCGAGGGGAGACCAGTTGTTGTTATTGGAGGAGGAGGGAGGAAAGCAGATACAGGAGGAGGAAAAACAGGCTGCAGAAAGGAAGAAGACGACGGACGCAGAGAGAAGACAAGATAACAGGAAAGAGCAGAGGTTGAGAAGAGGAAGGAAAGAGGATGAGAACAACGATGAGGCGTGCTCTTCCTCCACAGGCCCCGATACTGATGCGTGAGTACCAAATTTAATCATACCAAGGTTTTCGTTTTTCCCTTCATCAATATTCCAAGTTTCATCTCTCTCCTTTTTGCATCCAGTGAAACCAGCTTCATCAGCCGGCCCTGGCGCTTGGTTGATGGTAAGGTGAACCGGCAGGTGTGTAAGGGCATGCTGGAAGCTGTTCTCTACCACATCATGTCTCAGCCCGGCCTGACACACCAGGCGCTGGTAGAGCATTACAAAGATTTGCTGCAGCCAGTGGCAGTTCAGGATCTTGTGCAGGTATTCCAGTCTAGTAGTTGTTACTTCATCTATTAGTTTTTTATTTTTTCGTTTAAGTGTATCAACATTTCATACACACAAACACTAGAAATCTAAATCTAAAGGATCTAAAGATAAAATAGACTTTCCATTATTTGAGCACTTGGGTCATACACGGCCAATATTCAGTCTCCCTTCTGACCTCTATCAGCTCCTTTAGCAGGTAAATGCTTTCTATAGTGACAGTTTGTTGCTGGGCTGAGCAAGTGCACTGATGAGAGTAGTGAAAATGAACCAGTCAGCCTTATAGCGGCACTAAATCCATGCTTAAATGTTAAAAATATGCCTGTATCTTTGAATAGCAGACGCAACACGATTGCTGTGTAAAACGTGATTTTTAAAAATAGGAAGCAATGATTTGCAAATCTCATAAACCCAGATTTTATTCACACAATAAAAGGTATCAAATGTTTAAAGTTGTGAAATAGATCAAGTCTCAGAAAAGTTGTTTGCTGCCGTTTAGCGTCTGAGGAGACCGACTGCTGGATTTTTGGGAGAGGATGTTTTCCCATTCTTGTCCGATGGAGGATTCTAGCCGCTCAGCAGTCCTGGCTTTTTTTATTGCATTTTTGGTTCCATGCTCTAAATGTTTTCAGTTGTTGAGAAGGCTGGGTTGTAGGCAGGACAGTTCAGCACTTGGACTCTTCTGCTATGAAGCCATACTGGTCTGCAGTGTAGTGTCTTACTGAAATATGCAAGATCTTCCCTGAAAAAGACGTGATGCTGAACATTCTCAATTGTTCCACAATTTGTAGACACCGTTATTTTTGCAGATTGTGAACCTCTTCCTGTCCTTACTTCTGAGAAACTCTGAGCGTCTCTAAGATGCTCTTCTTTTATCCAGTCATGTTACTGACTTGTTGCCCATTAACCTAATTTGCTGGAAGTAGTTTATGAGATTTGTAAATTGCAGCATCCCAACTTTTGGGGGGCAGTATACACAACATGAAAAATGACAACTATAAAAGTTACCACAAGTTTGATGAGGGCAAAGGAAGAAATTCTTAAAACGTGGTACATCCCAGGATAACTAGTTTTTACACATTAGCACTCTTTAGCTTGTCACAGTTTTAGCATTGCTATAAAAGAGCTGTCTTTCCTTATTTTTTGTCCTATAGATAATGTGCCCATATTAAACATGTTCAAAGTTTGAGATGACAAGTTCCGCAACTTTGTTAAGAATACCCGTGAGCCAAAATGCATCAAAGACAAAAATTGACCCTTTTTATGGTTGTGTTTTTACTCTTTTTGTCTCTTCCACAGGCACTTATCGAACTGGGCTGTGTGACGAAGAAAACTCTGGCTAAAAGTCCTAAACCCTCACTGTTCACTCGTCCTGCACAGCAAAGAAAAAGCGAGAGACAACCAGACATAGTGATGTATGAGCCCACCATCAGCTGCTGCCTGCGACTCTGTCGAGTGTTGCCCAACGAGCGAACCTGGAACTGTTGTATACCCTGAGAAGTGTTTGCTAAACTTCTTTTAGATCTCCAAGGACTGAGAAAATATTGACACAATGATCAAGCCTTTGAGAGCTAAGTGAGGATATTTTAAAAATTTGATCAGGTTGTTTGTATTTCTTTTGGGAAAGTTTTTTTTTGTGTTCAGCTTTTGTGTACTCTAACTTATAATTCTTAATAAAAACCCATAAGTCTTCTTAAAACTTGTATTTATTAGTTAATCACGTTTTTGTCATTTTCTCTGAAACATGCAAAAGCTGTGTTTACACTTATGTATACAGTATGCAGGTCTTAAAGGTTAAAATCAGCTTTGTAAAGTCTTATGAGAGAAACGCACTCGGTGTACTCTATTTTTTACTTTATTTAGTAATAAATTTAGATTCTTTACATTACAAGTTTTTTCTACATGATAAAGGTGTGAAATCACAGAAAATGTTTGCGCTCACTGCCCACACTGTCCCATATTTCCCATATTTTTTATAGTACAATGGAAAACAAGAGATTTTCTGTCATTTAATTGTTTATCAATTACTTAGATTCTTTGGTGTTGCGTGAATGACTCTGGGGGAAGTCTTTCATGCAAAAAAATGGTATGTCTGATATCTGTTTGCTGAGGAGTCATCTTTTTGTCAGGTTTTCATGGCTCCTGTTGTTGGACCCATTCATTCACTCATGTTCTCTCTATAGCCTGATTGGGTACCTTCAAAGTGTATCAAGAGATTGGTGTAGTGGAGCGAGGTTGTTTCTAGCTGCAGAAGACTAGTAATGCGAGTAGTGTTTACAGAACGGGCAGATATCTGGAAAAGGGCGAAAACACCAGCACACTCTAATGAAAAGCACTTTAATAACTGTTTTATTACAGGATAAGAAGGTGGAGATGTTTTAGCAATAAGCTGTCATTAGGATATTTTAAGACAATCACAATATATAAAAGCCAGGTGAGAGTGCAATATGAAAACCAGAGCTCTAAGTACTTAATGAAAAGCATCTGTATCTTTGATTGGCAGTGGAAGCTCGCCTAACCTTTATTACATTTATTGTCATTTGGCATCAACAGGACATTTTGCACAGAACTTGCTCTATATTTTCTCTTTTTGAGACTTGTTTGTAAACCCTAGAGATGCTAGTGTGAGAAAATGTGAAATGCTCAGACCAGCCTGTCTGTGACCAGTGCTATAATTTTATTTGTTCAGGTGGTTTTGTAATTACTGGCGTACGCTGTGCTTTCACTTCCTAGATGGTTGTAAAGGTGCTGAAAGTCGGACTAGGCAGGACTGCTCTGTTTTTGTTTGTTTTTTTTAAGTCAAGTCAAGTCAACTTTATTTGTCAATTCTGCCACATGTACAGGACATACACAGAATAGAAATTGCGTTACTCTCAAACCCTAGTGATTAGAAAAATGCAAATAAAATAATTAAAAAGTAAAAATTTAAATAAATACAATACAATTTTACGTATAACAAAAAAAAGCTATGCAATATACAATATACAATATTCAAGTAAGAAGGCATAGTGGTGCAAAATAGGCAAATAGTGCAAATGGAGATTTAGTAGTGTACGGTAAGAGATAGTGTAACAACAAAGTCTTATGAGGTCCAATGCTTAAGCAGTCCAATGCTCCACAAAGTGACTGGAGCAGGCCAGTGAGTGCGTCAGAGAGTGAGTGTGTGTGTGTGTGTGTGTGACAGAGTTCAGTGAGACCGTGGTGGAGAAGAGGGGAGAGGGGGGCAGAATCGGGAGGGAGTTTAGCTTCCTGACAGCCTCACAGACAGCCTAAAGACTCACAGTTTAAGTCTAGTTATGATGTTCTGCCGTCATCTGTTGATACACTTGAGATAGGTACAGTCATATAGAGAACTGGGGTTACAACAGAAAGTGCAGGAATAATACCGTTGTTATTGGGTGAATAAATACAAGACTGATACAGAATGGGGGGAGTCTCAGGAAACCGTGATAACGATCACCGGGGAAACAAAGAGGAAAGGAATGTACCACAGTCACATTCATTTCAATGTGACTTATGAGCACAAAACTTCCTCTTTTCCTTCAGCCAAAGTACCAAACCTTCAACATTGTTGACTGTAAGTGTGGACCTCCGATCAGCCTACAGATATTATGTACAGATGAATATGTTTGAGTGCACTGTGCAGGTGTGTGTGAATTCCTTGAGTTCTCCCTCTCGGGGGGTTACTCCCACAGGGGTTAAATCTGGGACTCTCCAACATTTGACCCTAGACCTGAAGAAGCTTCTCGGATCAGAGGTGAAACGTCTTCAAGCAACTTAAAGAAGTCCAGACGCTTTTCTTTCCAAGCTCCTTAGTCATACTGATTGATTTTTTAATTATTATGAGGATATTACTACTTTAAAGTCAGTATATAAAAAGATTGCAGCACGGTATGTATAATGGTGACAATGCTACACTTTCGTTTTCACAATTTGCCAACGTTGATAACTTGATGGCTGTAAAACAGGAAAGGAAAAAACCAGCGGATGTGTGCTGTGAAAACAGGCTACACTGCCAACATTGTTCTCTTACAATAGAAAACCAAAATGAGGAGCTTGTAGAGCACATTCCCCTCTGCGAACGCCTTCGGACTAAATGTTTGATCATCTTCTCGACAACATTTGATTTCTAAAAATCTAGCTGGGAATAATGTTTTCCTATTTTATTTTTCTGGTCGCCTCCTCAGTTACTTTTCTGCGTACCCACCAAGTGTCCAGTCAAGGTAAGTGAAGGGTTTTCCAAGAGGCTGTGTTCACGATGTGCATGGTACAACTAATTTACAGCTCACGCTGCTGAATGTCTTAGAAACTTAGAGCCATCGTTACAGGTGGAAGCATACTGTAATACCCCATTAATTTAATGGTTCTCACTTTTTATTTTAGATGTTGTAAAGTGATAGATTAATTACTCTAACTGTGGCTCTTAGATTAGTGCTTGATCAGTTTGTAATGTGATCATTGAATTTGATCAGTCAATCTTAAAATTTTTAATAACTCAAGCGAAAAACAAACACACATATATAACAAGACCATCGTGTACAGTTGTGTGGTGAAGGATTATTATTTGTGGATATTTTGTATTTAAAGAATATAAAGCTTTGTGGGATCTAGTCCAAATGTGACAGACATCCATAAAAAAACAAATGTTCATTTTATTTGTGGATTTGTTTAAACTTTTACTGCCAAATCACCCGACAGTATCCAAATACTGTGAGAATTAAGTATTGTTGTAACTACTGTTTTATTGATTTTCTCAAACATGTACTGTGTTTCTTACAGGTTCTAGCTGCACAGAGTATCCTGTGTTCACTCCATCTGCACTGGTAGTGAAGTACGGTGACCCAGCCAATGTTACATGTGTTGCATGTCAGAAGGACTGCAGTGGAGATGTTCCAGGTTTAGAGCACGCTGTGGGAAAAATTTCACAAAGTGGAACCACGATGTTCTGGACAGTTGACAGACTGACTGAATGGGGCATATCTCTACAGTGCTATTATACCAATGATGCTGGTGATCAGTGTACTACCGTTCTGAATCCAACTCTTTATCGTAAGTATGCTTACTTTATAACAGGAGACTGAATTTTGCATCATTTTGCATCATTTATTATCAGAATTTGATTTCTTTGTGTTAATACACGGTTAGATGGATTCATGCTCTCAGCAGTTACTGACTAATATCTACCTGTGCTACTCTTTCTTTCCTTGTCTTCTCAGAGCTTCCAGAAAGTGTCTCCATCAGCTTTGTAAACCACACTGAGATGATGTTTGAGAATCAGCAGTACACCCTGCAGTGTAGCGTACAGAACGTAGCTCTTGTTCAAAGCCTCACTATGACCTTCTACAGAGGAAACACAGCACTGCGTCACCTACAGTCCGACAGTGAACATAAGAAACCAGTGAATGAGACCTTCACTCTGAACATCACTCCCAGAAGAGAAGATGATGGAGCCCAGTACTGGTGTGAAGCCAAGCTGGAGCTGGGACCAGCTGGACCACAGCCCCCTCCAGTGGTGACATCAGAAAAACTCAATGCTACACTCTGTAAGTCACTGTGGGAAAATTAAAAGAATCAAACCTCAGTTTTATATTCACACCAAACCGACACAGTTTTTTCTTTGTTTGGTATCGCTTCCATATTTGTGCATAATCTTAAACCTTTTGCTGGGAGCAGCTTAGCTTATCTTAGAATACAGACTGAAAATATTAACAGACCGACCAAAACACGTGATTTATACATGTTTATTTGCTCAAATTACCTGTTTGTCTTTTCCTAGATTTTACTACCACAACCAGAAAGCCAGAACCTACAACCATTAAATCAACAAGGTCAACCACAAGAGCCACAACACCCCAAACTACAAAGTCCACAACTACAACCACCAAATCAACTACAAGCTCAGCCACAACAACAACAGCGAACAAGACAGCAGTAATTGCACAAGCGATCACTACACCACAGAGCAGCTCCAACAGAATATTAACTCACAGCTTCATGTGTTTAACGCTTCTGCTCTCTGCTCTCATCTGATTTCATATCAAAAGATTCCATAAGCCTATTATAACAATGAATGTAATTAGATCATAGCAAATACTTCATTCATTTTCTGTATAGCTTCTTAGCTTTAAAGGCAGTGAGTGAGCAGTATTTAAATGAGTTGTTGTTCTATATATGCACACACATAACGAACTAAGGTGAGTAGTTAGAGTTGCTTTCTTTTATTTAGACCATTAGAGTTGTTTACAGCTGTGCTAGAAACACCAACAAGCTGATGTTTCTCAGCTTGTAGTGTCGCTCTGGGATGTCGTCCTCATTTTAATTCATTAGAAATTAAACACCTTCATTTTCCTATAAATAAGAACACGTCCATTCTGACAGTGTTCACATTTATAATCTATTTGTTTATGAGGAGCAGCAGAAATATAAGTTCAATCTCATAATATTGTCTTTATTTTTCCCTTTGTGCACATTCTCTCAGTCGACTTTAATCTCCGGCATGATCGCAGGAGGAAAAGTAATACTTTACTCTAAGAACTTAGTACATTTAGATATTTAATCATAAATAACACTGCAGGGAAATGTTTTCATTTGAGCTGTCGATGGTCTTTGATGAGGTCACAGCATTACCAAAGTTGCAACAAATCATTTCTGCCAGAGAAAAGTCGGGATCAGTCTGTGCATTAGTCCTGCGAGGATCATGAATGCCAAACTGGTGACCAAACAGTCTGACATTGGACCCATGTACCACAGTACTGATTTGTATATAAATGCACATTATACATTTTGTTTTGCGTTAATGCTTTATTCACTGACAGCCACTATAACAGATCTTCCTGTAGTTACAATAACACCAGTTTTAGCTTCCTTCTATATAATGAAACATATGATCTGAGAATGGCTTTAATCACAGAATTCTGTTTTATGTGTGTATAATGATTTTTCTATGTATGTACACCAAATATGAACCAAAATAAAGTTGTTGATTTTTTAATGTAAACAACTTCTTCCTCTTGGTCACAACATTTAATGTGTACATGAGAAGTTTCTGTCTTTCTGTTCATTTAGCCTGTTTGAAAAGACAAGTGGCACAAGCTGATTAAACGATTTTTAGACGAAAGAGAGGAAGCTGGAGAACCGCGATAAACCCAAAAGGCAAAGAGAAGCCATGACTTGGTATTATTAGGATACACATTTGTGCATAATATTTAAAGTTGAATATATATGAATTATGAAGAGTTATGACGTATGAAAAATCAAAAGACTTTGAAATATATATGTACAAAATACTGCTGTTTCAACTACACCTGCTTACAGAAATTTAAGATGTGAGTGAAGTTGGACCCCCAACCTTCTTCAAATCCAACAAAAGTGGTATCAAACATTTGTGCTGATGATGAGACAGAGTACCGGGCTGTGGTCGACTCCTTTGTCACGTGGTGTGAGCAGAATCATCTGCAGCTCAACGTGGCAAAGACCAAGGAACTGATCGTGGACTTCAGGAAGACCAGGAAACACTTGACCCCTGTTTCAATCCAGGGGGTCAGTGTTGACATTGTGGAGGATTATAAATACCTTGGAGTACACATTGACAATAAACTGGACTGGGCTAAAAACACCACAGCACTTTACAGGAAGGGCCAGAGTCGTCTCTATTTTTTGAGGCGACTGAGGTCCTTCAACATCTGCCAGAAAATGCTGAGGATTTTCTATGAGTCTGTGGTGGCCAGTGCGATCCTCTATGCTGTTGCATGCTGGGGGAGCAGGCTGAGGGTCGCAGATGCCAACAGACTTAATAAACTGATCCGTAAGGCCAGCAATGTTGTGGGGATGGAGCTGGACTCCCTCAAGGTGGTGTCGGAGAGGCGGATGCTGTCCAAGATAAAGACAATGTTGGATAACACCTCCCACCCACTCCATGACATGTTGGTCAGTCACAGGAGCACGTTCAGTGAGAGACTGAGATTACCGAAAAGCACCACTGAACGACACAGGAAATCATTCCTGCCTGTGGCCATCTCCCTGTACAACGCATCCACTTAACACACTGTTTGCTGCTACAGCTACACATGTTTCTTTTCCAAATATTTATTTATAAGTGACTTATGTATGTATGTATGTATGTATATGTATATATTGTACTATTCTTAGTTAGCGTATTGTCTGTCTTGTCTTAATGTTGGTTTAAAATGGAGCACTGTAACAAAAAATAATTTCCCCCAGGGATCAATAAAGTATTCTGATTCTGATTCTGATTCTGATTGTGCTGCAAAAATTTTAGTTTGTGCCGCTATTATTTTAAAGATATTAATAAGAATTTCTAGAGGTCATCAGAGGTCAACCAGTCCCCACATTAAGGAAATCAAACAAAATTGGTGTCAATCAACTGTGCTACGTTTGTGCTACTAAAATTGTTGTTTGTGCTGCTTCTGTTTTAAAGTATTAATGAAAATGTAAAGGTCAAAAGGTCAACCAGCCCCCCACATTACCCAAATCAAGCAAAAGTGGTGTCAAACTTTTGTGCTACGTTTGTGCTGCAATCATTTTAGAGATATTAATAAAATAATGTCTTGATGCATGTTCAATCATCCAGGATTACCTTTTGTAAATCCCAAATTGATTCTTGATTCTGTTCATCTGGATGTTGTGTTTTCAGTGGGAGAATGTTTTGTCATCCAAGTGACTTTTTCAGTCTCAGCTGACTGCAGATTTCCCCAATCTTAGTACGTGTACAGTCAGTGAAGAGAGATGTTACATCTCCCTTCACTTGCATTCCAGTCACTGAAGGTAGTTTGCAAGAGATTAGAGGATGACCCCAAATTCAGCAACAGAACCAGCCTCAGCACTGATCAGTTGTGTTTGCTTTTGGAACTGTGTGTTAATTCTACCTTTTTCTGTCATGGTCTGGGTGAGTCTGAGTAACTTTCCACAGCATCGGCTCTCCTCCTCTGGGTGGAGCCCTCCTTTGCCTTGAGAATCTAAGTTAGGAATTCTTGTAAATAAAAGTTTTGTTTTTGCAAATCACTTCAAGCCTCTGATCTCTTGGTTCTGCGCTTGAGTCCATTCCACTCCATGGGCCTCTGAGCCATGACAGTTTCACACCCAAGGGTCAGTATTATTGTTCCATTGTGGGTCAGTACTACAGGCAGAAACATGGGTCTGCCATGGGTTCCCCAGTTTCACCCTCCGCGGCCAACGTTTTGTTTTTTTTTTGCGCATGCGCACAACACCAAACCCAAATTAACTTATTTTTCTCTCATCCAAGGTTATGGTTCTTACGGTTATGGTTAGGGGGTAGGTTTAGGCAAGTTTGCAGACGACACAACTGTGGTAGGTCACATCAGCAACAACGATGAGACCTACTGCAGGGGTGAAGTTCATCTGGCCGAGTGGTGCAGCAACAACAACCAGTACCTGAACGTGGAGAAGACCAAGGAGATCATCATAGACTTCAGGAGAACTCACTCCCTGCACACTCCACTAACCATCAATGGTGCTGCTGTGGAGAGGGTAAGTTCCTGGGTGTGCACATCCCAGAAGATCTTTCCTGGTCAAAAAAGAGAGAGCGATATCCTCACCACCTGGATCACTGTGTGCTATGACTCCTGCACTGGGTCCTGCTGGAAAAAATTACAATGGTAGTGAGAGCAGTGGAGAGGATTGTGGGTACTTCTCTTCCCTCCCTGCAGGAGATCTACTGCACCTGGCTCATCTGGAAAGTTCTCTGGATTACAGGTGACTCCACTCATCTGTCCAACAGCTTCTTCAGTTTGCTGCCATCAGAAAGGAGATTGAAGAGCCTCCAAGCTAGAACCAGCAGACTGACAGACAGCTTCATCCATCAGGCTGTCAGGATGCTGAATTCACTTTCTGCTCTCACACACACAAACTCCAGACCTGCATTCACCTCCTCCCTCCGAACCCCCGCCCCCCAAACATACAAAACTGCCCCATCCCCATTTGCACATGAACTTGCTCACAACACTATGATTGTGTTGGAAACTGCTGTTTATACAGTTGTATAGTATTGTGTTGTACATAAGACTTCCATT